AAACCTGAAGATGGTTTGGCTTCACTATGTCATATCAGATCAGAGTCCCCAAGGAAGCCTATATTGAGTTTCAATGAGGAGCCTGTCTGAGAGATGAAGGAGATACAGGGGTGGAGAAGCAAGGCTTGGCCTTGGTACCCTTCTGTTATCTACAAAAGGAGAATAGGAAGGAGAGACAATCGGACAGAAAGAACCTGAGGTGGTGCTGTAGCTATGGGAACCCAGAGACACGGATTTCCCCATATGGGGCAGAAGCAAGCTCTCACATCTTACGTGTCACTGTGGTTTGAATATTATAGCCAGATGTTTGGAAGGAGCTGCTCACCTCTAAGAATTCCTCTTGAAGCCTATCTGAGCTATACACCTGCAAAGCTGCCTTTTGTTTTCCCCAAGATGCAGCCCAAGTGACCCAACCGTATTTTGCTAGTTCCCATCTGACTCCTCCTGCGGGACAATCAAAAAGGATGCAGTCAGTGTGATAAATTGTGTTCTCAGTCACTGCAGCAAGCATGGGGGCTGCAGCTTACATGCAGCCAATCCCTTGTGCATAGTCGTTAATTAACCAGACCCTCATGAATACATTTTATGGCCTTGGTGGTCACAAGATTAGTCTCTTTCAGGAGAAGTTGGAACGTCTTGTGATAGCAACCTCTGTGAGCCAAGGTTGCTGCATGTGACATCTCAAAGTCACAGGTGAGCAAGGGAGTATCAAGAGACACCCAAAGGGCTGGAAAGATAGCTCAGCTATTAAAGGAAGAGACTCACAACCAAAACTCTAAGGAACACCCAAAACTATCAGTTACCCATGTTCCAAGTATATTTTTCTCTACTTGGATGGAAAAGCCATTTTCTCTGTTTTCGGTGCTCAAGGTCAATGGCCTTGTCCACTACATGGATGCTTCCTGTTTGATTTATTTGTGTGGCATTATGTGTATGTGGACTCACCTATGCCTGCATCTGTGGAGACCATAAGTCAGTATCTGGGGTCCTCCTCTATCACTGCATTTCTCTCTCTCTCTCTCTCTCTCTCTCTCT